CTTTGTACCCCCTTCCCCGTGTTTTTGTAAGCCGCCCTGAGTCCCCTCAGGGAAAAGGGCGGCCTATAAATTATAATAAATCTACCAAATCTACCAATCTACCAAATCTCTGTAAACCGCTTAGAGAGGCCTGAAAGGCCTATGAAGCGGTATATAAGTCTACTGCTATTGCTATTGCTATCTTCCGAAAGCTGGTCATAATGGACAGTTACTCTGTTTATCTGGAATAATGCAGATTGGTTTTATATAGAGTCTAAATACAGCTAAGCGTTGTACTATAAAAGTTCACACAATTGTTAAACATGCACATTTCCTTGGCCTGTGGTTGCATAGAGTGAGATTCTGCCAACACAAATTTAGTAGGACTTTTGCAATCAAACTACTCATTGTTTCAGGATTTCACAAGCTCTTTAGTGTTGAAAAGCTGTGATTTGTGGCCTTTTTGAAGACTGCTCTTGCTTTATATTCTTTATATCAACAGAAATTATCCCCAGGAGAGCTGGAATTGAACCTCTCATGTATCACAATCAATGTTCAACACAGTTGGTGAGGATGTTATTTTTTTCAGTGAACTACTTGTTAACTAATTTCATGGCACACTGCCCCAAAAGCAGATAGTTCACTGCTATACAATTAGTGTTAGCAAACAGTATTGTACTGAATGCTTACTTAAACACAATCTAGCTGTATTCTTTTTCTTGGAACTGAAGCTATGGTTATTGTGGGGAGGGGGGAATCCAAAAGCTTTTCAGTAGCATCATCAAACAGCATCTTTTAGAAAGCTCATGTTTAATGGGGGAAGAAGGGTTAGCAGTTAGGCATAAATTAGGCAAAGCAGAAAGCTATGCTGCTTTGATTTCCACTATTTGTTTCCTCAGCATTGTATTTTGCATAATGAAAACAGCACAAAAGATCACCCCAAATCACAATACCTGTAATATCTATGAAGTCCAACCCACAATGTTTGGTTTTTATGAAAAACAGATGTAATTGTTTTCTTCAGAATATTACCTTTTTTTATGCCGTTAGTTCCATGAAAGTGTTGTGACACTTTTCAAATGATAAATGATCCAATTACTTTTAATGGCCAAATTATCATAGTACAAAAGAGGATAAAAAGCACAATGACCTAGAATATTTAACACTATATGTAATTTTCTCTAGAAATTGATCTACATGCTATTTTGGGATTGAAAATTCATGAAGTTCTACTTACACCTCATCTATACTATTCTTCAGGAAAAGAAAACACCAGTAACAAATATGGTAATAGATGAATTTACAAGCAAAACATTAAGAGCACAGGCTACTGCTTATTTAGGGGCAACTGAAAGATATTGTTTTAAAGCGATTCAGTGGAGATTCAGCATGTTTTACATGCAGATTTCAGGTTAGGTCACTTGTTCTTCGAATTAAAAAAAATCATTCCTGGTAAAAGGAATGAATGTACACTTGTTATAAACTTGACACATTTAAAAATAAAGCAAGAAACAAACACCCTTGGATGAGCAAGTTAGTCAACACTTTCTGGAGAGACTCATACCCTGCATTAGTACAAAGTAAGGTATTAATATTTGTTTTTTTTTAATAGTCTGCATATACAGATTGAGCCTTTTCCTCTAAGTTTATATTTAAGATGTGTGATATGAAAATGTATTTAACACTGTCCTCCAAGCTGTTTGTTGCTGAAGAAGAGGTTTTCATAAAACACACTCTAGGAGCAGTACCTATACAAGCAATACTCATCAACAAAATAAGAATGTACATGTATAACTAATATAAAAGAATAATTTATTATATGCACTTATCTCTTTCCTTTATTTTTTTTAAATTTAGGAGTAAATTGCATTAACACATTGTACAACTTCTCATGTAAGCACAGACTTTGGAATCTGCAGGTTGTTAGTACCTACTATCAAAGATTTTAATTTTAAAAAATGTTAAGTTTGTGGAGCACATTATTGTCATTACTGTATATCATTATTGTAAGTTTAAATATGAATTCAATCTGTTTAAAATTATTTTAAGTCTAGGAGCATTCTTTGTTTAATAATTCTGCCTTATACTAATTAATATGGGAGCACATCTATACTTTTTTATTGCCCTAAGTAGTGTTTGGTGAAAAGGAATTTGTTACTCCTGATATTCCAGGAATAACTGACTAAATGTAACATGCCTCACAAAATATTGTTGAAGGGTTCTGGTTTACATACAACAGTGTCAAAGTGCTGCACTTAACCTTCTGGATTTTTATTAACATGTCTTTTTATATGTACATAATTTAGACACAAATTGCTTTAGTATTTGGCTAACATCCCTGTCTTAGAAGGTTCTCAGTGTGAAACACTTACTGTATTTATTACAGTTTTGACATCAGATTGATTTAAATCAAGGCAATATGTAAATTTAATTACTTCTTAAAAAGAACTACCAAAGACTCAACTGGAAATAAACAAATTGTGTTATGGGTGATCTCAGGTTATGACAGCGATTTCGGACTATAAAAGTATGACATCATGTGACTACACTGGTTAGCAATGACAATTCCTTTGTCTTAACCAAACCCCATCAGTCATTAGGCCAGGACCCAACCTGATCCAAGTCATTCCAGCTGGCTCCCTCCCAGCCCCAAGCCTCATCCGTAAGGTAAAGGACTGCTTCCTCTTCAGCTTCCCCACCCACTTACCTGTCCCATCTCTGCCCTTTTGACTCCCTGGCACAATGGAATTATTAGTAGCAGTGACATTTGTGCTAAAGTAGAAGCCTGATCCTTCAGCAGTCTCAGCCAATCACCCCGGTACCACTACTTTAACCCCAGTGCTGCTCGAGACAAGCATTACTGTGCAGGGCAATCAAAAGAAGAGAGATGGGGAAGATAGGTGGGCAATTTTAAGCATGGGTACAAAAGCCGAAATTTTGATCACATGATGGTAGGGTTGCTGCAACAACTGGACATGAGCACCATTTATTGAACATCACACTATTATATATAGTTGAATGGTCATTAAGCAAGGACTACCTGTATTTATACTATTGTACTGCAAACCTCTATCTGAAAACATTCCAGAGAGAGCTAATTCTGGAATTATTAGATTTACCCTTAGAACATCTTCCCTTTTGAAATCCAACAGATTCTCTGCTCTCCTAGCCTCCCAAAGAGCATTGAAAAACTGGCTTTTTCGCGAAGCACTGGGATAGGTGAGATGGGTAAGAAGATTTTATGAAGGATTTTATGTTGGAAGCTTATTGTTGGTGCCTTTTTATGTTTATGGTTTTAATATATTTATGTATTATGTTGTTTTATTATTGATATTGTTTTAATTGATCATTGGGAAGCACCCAATTTTGATAGAAGACGGATGGCTATATAAAAGTTTTAAATTAAGATCAATGCTGAAAGCAACCCTAAGATTGATGGAACACCAATCAGTGAATACAATAGACCATTAGAAATTAAATGTGTTAATTTTGTTGGTTGCATATATTTCAGTCAAAGTTTTGCCATTATAATTTTAAAAAACAGACTACTGTAAACAAAAACAGTTGATATTTAAGTCACAAAGGCCAGCTAAAGAAGCGCAGAAAATGTAGGCATGCACTACTGAGTCTTAATTCAAAAAAGCACAAGTGAGATTTTATCCAACTACAATACCAGAACAAATCATCAAATTTGCCAAGTTTTGGTATAACTGGTACCAAAATTATAAACACTATCTTTTACCTTTACCAGCAATCAAAAATATTAATACTAAGGATCTTTTGGTTTGGAAAAAGATTTTTAAAATGCACATCTTTTTTTCAGGACTCAAAAAAAGCAGGATTAAGTAAACAAAGAAATAGACACTGACATTGGCTATTAGTTTCACATAATTTATTTCTGAAACTTAAACATCTATATGTATTGTTTTTTAGAAATAAGTTCCAGTGAACTCAAGATAATAGCATTGGACTACAAGTGTGCAAGGCAGCACACAAATGCACCACCTGCTGGACTACAAGTTCCCGGTATGGTAAGAGTACATGCAAGTAGGTTGACTGTTTAAATGAGATACAATGCAAAGCCCTCTGGGTAAAGATTTTTTTTTCTGCCTACATTTTAATTTTTGCTGTGTGTTGAGTTAAGGAGGTTCAGGTTGAAGTCCATCTTTAACCACAAAAAATCAAGTGATGATTGATTTTGGGCTGTGAGTCACTAACTCACAGCCAAACCTAACTACACGATTTGGAAGAAGATAATAGGGGAGAAAATATTACATTTATAACAGATGAAAAACAAATTGCTAAAGACAGAAGTATTCCATTATATTTCCAGCCCATTCACACCGATCAAAAATAGTTTTCAAAGGATACTAATTATAAACTGCCTGTATCTTTCTATAGGAAGATATTCAGAGATATTAAAAAAGAGAAAATATTTTATGAATCTCTGTATGTGATTGTTTCAGATAGAAGCACCTGTCAGAAGATCCTGTGTTAAAGCATCTCGGTTATTTCCACAGTCTGATTTAAGAGGCATCTTACACCGGCCCTTCAAATTATAATATTACTTAGGGCTTTTTCACAGCCTTTTCCACCTTCCGGACATATTAGTAGGTTGCTAAGGGCAAAGTCCCGCTTCATCTAACATCAGCAAAAGCATTTATGCAGGCAATGTCCGGCTGCCTCAAGCAACACCACCCGCCCGCTGCCACTGCTGGGCGGCCACCTGCCCACCGCCTCCCCATGGCAAAGGAAGCGCCCAGCTCGTAGTAGAGCCCTTCCAAAGCCGTCACTGTCCTTTCGCAGGCCTTGCCAACGCCACAGGCCGCAGCCTGGGCAACAGAACGAACACCAGCCGCCGCCGCCACCGCCCCCTCTCGGCCGGACCCACATCGAAAGGGAGCTTCGGCCCGACACCCAGGCAGCCGGCTGGAGAGGGCTGTCGGCCGGTGCTCGGAGCCGCACTCCACCTTTCCCCCCTCGCAGGCAAACACCCCTTCCCTTTCGCGGTAGCCACTTACCCGAATCCTTTCCCCCGGGCTGGGCTCTTCGGCCCGGGGGGAAAGCGAAGACCAGAGCAGGAGCAGCCCCAGGAAGGAACCGACCAGGAGGACGGCGCGCAAGAGGAAGCCCAGCTTCAGCCGCATCTTCAGTGGCGGCGATACCGGCTTCCCCAGCCGCCGCCGCCACTGGGATACCACTGTCGCCCCCCTCCCGACGACTGCTGCTCTTCACTTGCGCGCAGAGCTTTGCGTGTTTCCCCTTCCCTCCTCCTTTTGCTGCTGCTGCTGCGGCCGCCTCTCTTTCCCCTCACAGACAGGCGCTTGGCGCCGAGCCCCGCTTTGCTCTTGCTCGCCTCCCCTGCAGCTTCGCTTTTCCTCCTCCTCTCCTCCTCTTTTCCTCCTCTCTCGGCCTTCCTCCTTTTTCTCCAATTGTTACCGCCTCTCCTTCCCGGCCTCTTGCAGCGCGCCCGCTCCCACTCTGTAAAATCACAAACTTTTTTCCCCTCTCTCCCCTTTCCTAATACAGTGTGCCTCCCCCCCGTCCCCCCCCGGTTCTCTTTGAATATTATTCTTGTTCCTTCTGCTTTCCTTGCTAATCTTTCAGGCCAGTTTGTTAATCTAAGCAGGAAGTCACCTCCAGAGCAAAGACTCCACGTGGCTCATTTACAGCCGCGGGCTTGATTTGGATTGGCACTAGAAAACTCGAGGTTCCCTCCTGCCCCTTTTTCCCTTTGACGCGTCGCTTTAAAGAGGTGGATTTGCAACTGTAAACCTGAAAAAAGTTGGTTAAATACCGGACTCCTTCTCCCAGCTCTGGTGAGATGGGAAGAAGGATTAGCACGCTTGCCAAGTCTTTCACAACTGGCCTCTGTCTTTCTTGGACTTACACGAAAGAAACGAAAAAATTCGATCAAAAAACAAACGGTGCGCCCGAGAACTACATCATTAAAAAGATTCTTAATGTTCGTGGTTCTCAAGCATTGCTACACAGGCTAAAAATAATGTCCTGGGAGGTTATTTGGGGAAAGGATGAGGGGAGGAAAGTGAATGTTAGGGAAAGAAAGGAACAACTAATCGGCTCACCGTGATTCTTAGCGGCTCAAGTGCTCTCTGCCTCAAGAAACGAAATGCCAAGTGTGGAATTATTCAAATAAATAAGCCCCAAAGGATTATCTAGAAAGAATTGTCCTAGTTGTCCACTCGTGGTCAGATTCTGCTCTGGTAATTTAGGATTGTAGGTAGCCTTTCAAGCCTGCAAAAGGAGAGGGGTGGACCTCGAGTTCTTTAGTGTCAAGTAAATAGTTGTATTGATGTTTTACTGGGGAGAAGGGAGGACTGCAATTGAAAGAGTTGTTTGAGCTTCGGCGTTTTAAATATCACTTAGACCCACTGACTTTTTTAGAATAAAAGTGAAACCTGGAGGTAAAAAGTACCAAGACTTCTGACAAATTAGTTCCCCCTATTTGTTCCCCCATTTTGGGGGGCTGTTGAGGGACTTTGATATGTTTTTTTGGGCAAGCCCTTAGAATAATTGTTAGCTGCCACTGAAAATGGTTTTTCTGTCTTTTTGTTATATTATTCATTGACTTGCCTTTTATTTTAGAAATATCTTATGGATGTTTCTGTAGTAATCTATTTAATAGTTCATAAGTGTCAAGGCATAGCCATCCCATAAGAACAGAGAGCCTTGAAAACTTTACATTTGTTTTTTTTTCTTTTAAAAAATGAAAAAAGCTGTTACACTATAAAGCAAAGATGATCTACCAGACCCTTTTTATTTACACATCCCAATTAAATATTAAAGAACTTTCTTAGCAGTTAAAAAAAGTAAGAGGCAATCACCTAACAAGTTACTTCCAAGCAAATATTTATTTGTTCATTCAATTTACAGTTATCCATTTCTAATACATGGTTCTGGAGAGCCAGCAATGCTTACATACAAGATAAAAACACATAATAATAATATAGTCAACAACCGAGAGAAAAACCAACAGCAATTAACACAATCATGATAAGAGTTCAATCATACACTTGAGTCCCAGGCTTGGTAACAAGAGCATGTTTTCAAGATCTTATGACATGCCTCAAGATTGCAGCGAATTTAATCTAGGGGATAATATTCCAGACAGAGTCTCTTCTTGGGTCCCACCAAATAACACACTGCAATGCACAAGATCTAGAGCATGCCTTTTCTGCAAGATCTAATGGACAAGCTGCAAAAATGCAATGTACTTAATAATAAAAATCTCATATTGACACAATGTTTATTCTACCTCTAAAATAAGGTGTAAAAAACAATATGTATCATAAGTTAAAATTATTTGGATATTATCAACAGGTTCAATGTAACATCCACAGAGCAAAATGTTAATTTGCTTTTACAGTAGTATTTGAGTGATAACTATTCTTTTAAAGTTACAACAGCACTAAAAAATTTCTTATAATTTTTCACAGAACCATTGCAGCATCCCTGCAGCCACATGATCAAAATTTAGACGCTTGGCAACTGGTATATACAGTGGGGCAAAAAACTATTTAGTCAGCCACCAATTGTGCAAGTTCTCCCACTTAAAAAGATGAGAGGCCTGTAATAGACATCATAGGTAGACCTCAACTATGAGAGACAGAATGAGAAAACAAATCCAGACAATCACAGGAGCAGTTGTTTTGTTATATACCGGTATGTGTTTTTATTTAAAAGTTAAAACCTAAAGTTGCATTACAAATTAATGGATTGATAAACTCATATATCTTATTGTTAGTTTTGTGCTGTTACTAACCGAGGTTTGTAATATAGATTCTGCTGTGAAGGTAGAAGGTCATAAAATGGGACAGATTAATTTACTGAAGTCATTTTGGATACTTTAATTTCTGTAAATGCTTTTGCTTTGGAAATACACAGTTCCACCGCAACAAAACCGACATAAAATGCATTGCTTCCACAATGATTACATTGTGTTAGAGAGATACTAAGCTAAATATCTTACTTCTCTGATACATTGGCTACCTATTTGAAGGAGCAACTGCAGTATTATTTCTCAATATTTAAAAAATTGAATTGGTCTCTTCTCCCTGTCTTCCAAGGTCATTCCCACATCCTTTTACAGGTATACATGTATGAATATAAGAAC